TCAACTGTGAGGCTGAGCCCAGGCCTACATCTGCCTCTAGCCCTTCACTACTTGCTCTTTCCTCATTAACCATTAAGCTAGAGAGAGGGTGGCGTTCAGCCTTTCTGACAGCCTGTCTCATGTTTCAACTGCTCTCTCTCCCTATGTAAGGCCTCATAGGTCAGACCAGCTACAGATATGGAGGTTCTGATTTGGGATGCGGGGAGAGGGAGGTGGGGGGAATGGGGAGCCTGTGCAAGTTACCTAACTTCTTTGAGCTTCCCTTCTCCCATCTGTGAATGGGGATAATAATAGAACCATTGGGGAGAATTAACACGATAATCCCTGGAAAGAGCTTAAACCCATGGTTGGCACATAGTCAACTCAGCCCTGAACAGCATAGCTGTTGGAGCTCTAGGAAGCGCCCTGCGGCCATCTCTGTGATTGACAGGCTGCTTGCTTTCCCAGGCAGCCCCCTCCTGACACAGCTGGGCCCTGTACCACTGTTCTCATCCCCTACCTGAGCACCATCGTAAGCTATTCTGAGAATCAGTCAAGTTTTGCTTTGGGGTTTGGGCCTGGTTTAATGTCCTGGTTTGTATGTAGCCAGTAGAGTGTAATAGGTATTTAATGAGGCTCTCGGACTTTTAAAAATAGGAACAGGAGCATGCACAGGCACCGTGTGTTCACCTATCTGCTTTCCCCATAGCGAGTTCTTGTCTCTTCAGAAACACTGGGCTTAAAATTGTACTTATTGTATAGTCAGAGTTGGGGATTTGTATCTGTATCCATCATAATTTAAGATTAAATATTGGCGTGACTGGAACTTCGAAGTTTTTTTTTTTTTTTTTTCCTTTTAGTTTTATTTTTTTTTTTTTTTTTTTTTTTTTTTAACATTTTATTAGGGGCTCATACAACTGTTATCCCAATCCATATACACATCAATTGTGTAAAGCGTATTTGTACATCATTTCTCAAAACATTTTCTCTCCATTTAAACCCCCGACATTAGGTCCTCATTTTTCCCCTCCCTCCCCGCTCCCCTCTCCCACATGAGCCCTTGATAGTTTATAAATGGGTATTTTGTCTGGAACTTCGAAGTTTTTAAACAACACTGTGCATGTGCGATAACAGACTTGTCAGCAAAGTAGTGGACAGGTGACCCGAGGTGGACTCTGTATCTGTGATAGGAAGACCGTCGTTAAATGACACAAGGCAAGCCTGCCCTTCTCTTACACAGGGTGCTCCCAGGGACTGCCCTGAGGGTTGGCTGGCAGCTGGTTTGGGCACATGCCCAGGCCCATGGGTTTCCTGGCATTTTCTAAAACAACGCCACATGGACCTTTGCTCATTGTGCTATCATGGCTCGCCTGACGATCCTCTGGCTCACCAGGACACCATGCCTCCCAGATTGCGGTTACTAAACTGCATTGCCCCTGCCCCCCCCCCTTTAAAATTCATCATTCATTGGGAGTAATATACTTATATCATTTCATAGTTTAATCATGTCAAGCAATATTGTACAATTGCTACCACAATCAGCCCTTTTTGCTCCACCCTCCTTCCCCAGTTGTTATCTTTAGTCTTTGTAGTGAAATCAAGATTACTGCCCCCCGCCCCCCCAAATGCAAACCAAACCCACTGCTTTTGCAGTCTGTGCGTGCTATGCGCTTGCAGCGCTCACCTGAAGAAGAGAAGGGAGATAAAGGGCAGTGGCTAGGCTGGCTTTCCCCCCCACTCTGCGGGGAGGCATGGTTGAGGGTATTGGCCGGCTTTCCCCCCCCACTCTGCGGGGAGGCATGGTTGAAGGTATTGGCCGAGTGTAAGCATACCTGGGTGATGGTCTGTGGCTGGTGCCCAGCATTGTGTGTGGGCCCAGGTTTAACTTCACCTTTGCCTAGGTGACTTGTGTCTCAGCATGCTCAGTTCTGGATTTCCCCATAGGTGTCTTAATTAGTGTGCCTGATTTCTTTCCAACCCCTTTATTGTGGCATGGGCAGCTAATTTTTTTTTTTTTTTTGCGCAGCTAAAAAAGACAACTGCCCTTTGTCCCTAATCTAATGACCTGTCAAAGGCAATGAGAAGAATGTGTTTGCAGATGATCACAGTTCTTCTACAGGTCATAAGGCTTGCCACCTGTCCACTCGTTTCATTACAACTTTCAGCGCCCCTGTCGGGATGGCAGCAAGTAACCTCACCCCAAAGTAGCTCTGACTGCACCTCCACTTTCTGGGTGAGCACCCAAAACACCCAAACAAGACATCATATCTGAAGGCTGTGGTTGTCTTGGACTCCGTCGCCATGAGAATGGCAGCTGGTTCCAGCATGGCAGTCATCATCTCTATCCCACGAGCCTGTGTCGCTGTCCCTGAACAGGGAGACCAGAAGAAATGCAAAGACGCCCGTCACTGTCAGCAGTGTCCGGTTGGAGACCGTAGGGACCGGCAGCTGGGCAGAGTACGATGTAGTCAATGTCTACTGACATCAGACTCCCGGCAGCCACTAGGGCTATGCGTGGCGGAAGTTTTGCTGCTGCCATTGTTGGCTCATTACGATCACCATTCAGAGGAGCCTTGAAGGCCATGAGCAGACAGCTAGGCTAGTAAGCCGGCCTTCTCCAGACTGGACCCTTGGCCACCATAGATGGTCTCTCAGGTCCTTACCTAAGTCCTTGTCTGGCTCTCCTGGGCTGCCCTGAACCTGCAGGTCTCCTCCAGCAGGACCCCAGCCTCACAGAGCCTGAGAGGTCCTGTTATGGAGTAAAAGCAAGCGACAGGGTTGGAAATAATCCCCCTTCTCCCACCCTTTTGTTATTTGCTGCTAGTTTCCAATTTTTGTAACAAACTGAGACCATTTTGTTTGTGATTGGGTGACTTCCAGGTAAGTTGGACTGGGACAGGACTGGGGTGAAGTAGCCAGGCAATTAGCAAGCATGGTCCCTATAAAGGCGCTGGAATAAAGACTGACCTGCACCGTAGGCGATCACTATCAGAATTGGATTGGCTTTCTCTTTTGTTAACGGAAACATTCTTTCCCAAATTATTAGAATACATCCTAATAGAAGAGTTTGAATTCTTGTTCACACTTGATTTCTTTTTCTTAAGTTGATTGTCAGTATTTTACAATTAAGATGATTGTTATGGTAGAATTGAATATCATAGTGGAATTTCGAAGATCCGACTTTTAATTTATTAGGTCTCTTCTGTTTGTGCTCAAGGAGTCTCAGGGTAGCCTAAATGGTGTCTTAATGGGTATGCCAAGACATTCAACTGTGTGCTTCATGAACTATGGATAACCTTGAGAAGAATAGGAGTTCAGAACACTACATTGTACTCATGAGGGACTTATATATACATGGATCAAGAGGCAATTGTGGGAACAGAACAAGGGAATACTGCATGGTTTAAAATAAGGAAAGGTGTACATCAGGGTTGTATCCTCTCACCATACTTATTCAATCTGTGTTGCGCAAATCATCAGAAAAGCTGGCTTATGTAAAGACTGGCACCAGGATTGGAGAAGGCTTCTTAACCTGCAATATGCAGATGACACAACCTTGCTTGCTGAAAGTAAGAAGGACTTGAAGCACTTGTTGATGAAGGTCACGAATTGCAGCCTTTAGTATGGATTACAACTCAATGTAAAGAAGACCAAAATGTTCACAACTGGACCTCACATCTTCGACTTTCAACATGATAAATGGAAAATAGGTTGAAGTTGTCAAGGATTTTGTCTTGCTTGGATCCACAATCAATGCTCATGGAAGCAGCAGTCAAGAGACCAAAAGATGTGTTGCATTAGGGTAAATCTGCTGCACGAGACCTCTATAGAGTGTTGAAAGGCAGGGCTATTACTTGGAGGACTAGGGTGTGCCTGGTCCAAATCCATGGTATTCTCCACTGCCTCCTATCCATGTGAAAGTTGAACATTGAATAAGGAAGACCGAAGGAGTCTGTGTAGTTGAATTGTGGTGCTGGAGAGGAATATTGAAAGTACCATGAAAGTGCTGAAAGGACAAACCGATCTATCTTGGAAGAGGTATGGCCAGAGTGCTCCTTAGAGTCAAGAACGGTGAGACTTCTGATATACTGTATTTTGGACATGTCACGAGAGACCATTCCCCAGAGAAGGACATCATGTTTGGTAAAGTAGAGGGGCAGGGGAGGAGAGGAAAGCCCCCAGCAAGCTGATTGACAGCGTGCCTGTGACAGTGGGCTCAAGCGTGGGGGATAGTTGTGAGGATGACACAGGACCCAGGTAGGGTTCCGTTCTCTTGTGCAGGCGGTCACTATGGGTTGGAACTGACTCGATGGCACCTCACAGCAACAACAGCAATCCTAAAAAAGAATTAAAAGGGACCCCCGTTTTCTCCAACTACTAATAGTGGAGGAAAATGATTGTGTTGGCACAGTTAAATTCCAGGACCCTCAGTAGGGAGGAGCCCACGGGCTAGTGTCCCCTTCTTGTAAAAAATGATGTGACCTTGATGGAGCTTGTGTTGAAAAGTAAGTATATGTTTTTTTTGTTTTATTTTGTCTTTTATTTCCATTTTTTTCACAAATTTTTCAGTGCCCCCTCACATATAATTTGGAATTCATTGCTAAGGTGTTTTTATACATAACAATAGCTTGCTTGTTCTTCACACTCAACTGTGACTAAAAATGAATCCCGATTTTATGTTTCTTTTGACTTAAAATAATTCTTTGTTCCAAATAATGCTGTTTGTCGTAGGAAATCACGGTGAAGCCAAGTTTGTTTGTTGATTGGTTGGTTAAGAAGAGAATGTAATTTGACCCTCTGGCCAAAGTGAGATTCTTTGATAAGAGTGCTCTTTGGTTTTCTTCTGGTCTCTGCATATTAGCCCAATACATGGCAGATTTGGGGAGGTGGTGGAGGATGGTTGTGTGTGTGTGTGTGTGTGTGTGTGTGTGTGTGTGTGTGTGTGTGTGTGTGTCTTTTCCAGGAGGTTAAGGACACCCTACACCTCCATTTTTTGACTCATCCCACATTTTGTTTTTCAGTGGACGAATACATTGCCATTGCTAAGGAGAAGCATGGGTACAACATGGAGCAGGTAATAACATGAGTTTTTATTGTTAAAAGTGGGTTTTATAGCCAACCCATTTTATTTTCTTCTTCTTTATGTAGAGTAGTAATGCTTCCTAATTAGCCACGTTGGGGTGGTTGGTTACTAGTGGTATAAGGCGCTTTTGGTGTGTAGTGTTTCTCATTGTGCTATTAACCGCAAGGTCAGCAGTTCAAAATTACCAGCTGCTCCTCAAAAAAATGATTAGGCTCTCTGCTCTGCTCAAGGGTTACAGCCTCTGCCACCCACAGGAGCGGTTCTTCCCTGTCCTGTAGGCTCCTGTGGGTCGGAATGGACTTAGCACAGGAGCTCTGGCCCCGCTTGCTGGGAGGAGAGTGGATGAGGGCCCTACATTTCTGCGGGTCCCAGAAGAGGACAGTGACAGGTGTAGGTGCCTTGTCCTGTCTCATCTCTAATGGGCACAGGCCTGCCAAACTTCTGCTTGTGTGATCTCCCCACCCAACCAGCCTATGATCATATTCAATAATGTGGAGTGTTTTAAGGTTTGTTATTCTGAACCTCATTTAGGTTAGAAGACTCTGGCCGCATTGTGGAGTGTTGGTGGGAGCCTGTGGATGAGAAATCCACGAGAGGCTGTGTCTTTCTCCGTTAGACAGATTCTTAGCTACAGCGGCGTTCCTGATGGTTATGGCAAGCCCATAGGTTAGGGCATCGACCTCGGCCCTACAGCCTGTCTGCTGTTGCCCTCATGTACCTGTCCAAAGGACAGAGGGCCCGGGATTCTCGGTTAGCTCCAAGTGTGCTCTCTCATTCATGCTTGGCCTCACTTTCAGTCATTCTGCCGTGGAGCAAGAGGCCATTCCCAGGGCCTTCCCAAGCAGACAGTGATGTTTCAAATGCTGTCTCTGACCCTGCCCCACCAGACTCTGAAATCCGGTTTAGAAAGTGTCAATGGGTGGGGGAGGGCGTACAAAACACCTGTGGGAATTGAAGGAAATGGGTTTTCAAAGGCGTGGGAAATTTTCTCAGGACAGTGTGGCTGAATTATACTTCTTTTGTTACTCATTTGTTCCTGACCCATTTGTGTGTGTGTTCTCCTTTCTGAGCTTAAAAAAAAAGTTTACATCTGAAGTGGTTTTTTGTATTTTGTATTTCCTTTTACAAAAGGAGCCATACCATTGAGAATGTCTGTCATTGACTTGGCCCTTTCATAGCAGAGGCTGGCATGTGACAGGCAGAGGGGTATGTAGCCACTGATTGGGGTTTGGCTGCTGCCACTTGCCAGGAACTTGCCTGGCCCTTCTGTATTCTAATCTGAGACATGGGGATGATGGGACTTACTTCGCTCACGGTGCTCGTGAGCTAGACAGACCGTGTAACCATGGCTGCTGTTGAATGCCAGCCAAATACCAGTTAGCTTTTTCTTAGTTTCTCTGGATGTGAAAGAATACATGCTCCTCTACCACCTGCATCTTCATTTCAGTGTTTCATTAAAGTCTGTATGTGCTAAAATGTCACTGGCTTCATTTTTCCAGGCTCTTGGGATGCTGTTTTGGCATAAGCATAATATTGAAAAATCATTGGCTGATTTACCCAACTTCACCCCCTTCCCTGATGAGTGGACAGTGGAGGATAAAGTCTTGTTTGAGCAAGCCTTTAGTTTTCATGGAAAAACTTTTCATAGAATCCAACAAATGGTGAGTACAGAAGATCACCCCTTGCCCCTCTCTGCCCCCTGCTCTGCTGACCTGGGAGTTGGGGGCCCGATCCTCAAAGCCTGAGTGGGTCCCCAGCTGTTAATAAAGCACAACCAGCTAAATGGAGCCCTAGTGGCTTGTAAATCACATGTTGGACTGCTAACTGCAAGGTCAGCAGTTTGAAACCACCTGCTACTCCTCAAGACAAAGATGGAGCGTTCTGTGCCTCCTATAACGTTACCGGCTGTGAAACCCCAGGGACGGTTGGTTCATCCCTGTCCTTGGGTGCCCGTGGGTCGGAATCATGGACCCCTTAGAGTGAGCAGCTGTCTGGTGGACGCTCTCATCCAAGCTTCCTGCCGGTTTGCATGAAGCACGCAAGTGAAACATTTTGAGATGAGAGGAGCCGAAAACTATGCTAAAAAGATGGAGAGTGGAGACTGATTTCCTTTTGAGTTATAATTTGTAACTGACTTGGCCCTCTGAAATGGAATGACTGAAGAAAGCCTCTTTTACTCGGGCTTTCTTGCTTACAAAGGGCTGTGACTTGCTCCGGAGTGTGTGAGTGGCTGCCAGTAAAGTAGCCAGCCGAACACCCTGGATTTTTCCAGACCGGCTTTAAATCTGGTTTAGATTTACATAATTGGTGTGACCCTTTCCCCCTTTATTTTGTACTTAGCTTCCTGACAAATCTATCGCCAGCCTAGTGAAGTTTTACTACTCCTGGAAGAAGACCAGGACCAAGACCAGTGTGATGGACCGGCATGCCCGGAAGCAGAAGCGTGAGCGTGAGGAGAGGTCAGCGTGGGGTGGGGGCTCCCCCATGTGCCACTAGAACCCTCAGCAAAGGTGGAATGACCAGGCTTCTCCAGAATCCAGTCCTTGTGTCTGAGCTAGGCTAGGTCCCAAGGGCACCTCTCTCCCTGGGCTTTCTCTGGTGGCTCTGCCCATGGTCAGGGGCTCCTTTCCACTGGAGTGCACAGCTCCAGGGGCCACTGGTGTGTCTGCTCCTAATCCAGAGCAACTGGTTCTTTCTAGGTTGAAATGTACCTGTCGTGTCTCAGACATGCCCAACATGTTTTTATGTTTGCCGTGTAAAAAGAAAACCTGCAAAAACCGGCAGCCATTTATTCCTGGCCCACCCTGTGTTTCATGTCTGGGAGGAAGAGGGGCGTGTGAGAACTCTGGTCAGTCGTTGGACCGTCTTTAAGGAGAGCTGACTCCCTCCTGAGCGTCACTTTCTCACGGCCCCTCTCTTGACTTGGTCCCAATTCCCGCTGCACCGAGTAGTGGGAATCACTGAGCTCACGTTCCAAAGTGATCTGGGGACCCTGCGTGGTGCAGTGGGCATGTCAAGACTTCGAAGTTTCTGCGTACACACTCACAGGCATGTGAGCCTACTACTGTCCCTTCGCCCTGACCGGTTTCCTTAGCTCGCCCGTGAAGATGCTGAAGCCCAGAAGGCAGGCTGATGCTGGCTGCCATACTGATCGGTGGCGGGGTGTGAGAGTGTGGGTGACTCAAAAATGATACTGTCCACCACATTTTCACACTCTGGTATTTTTATAAAGTAATAATATGAGACCGGATGGCAAGCTCAGAGCCCTTATCTTCTCAGAACATTATTTTATGATCTCAGCAGAGTGTCACATGAGGATGGGTGGGAGACCTGAAGTCTCTCTGGGCCCCAGTATACGATGAAGAATATTGCTTTTTCCATCTCTTAAAAGCTCTTTTGAACTTTCAGTGTTTAGCACAAATGTGTCTTGGTCTGCAGCAAGCCCCCTCTGGCGGTCTTTGTGAGTCAGCACATGTCCAGCAGAGGTGGATACAGTAATTCAGGTGTTCTGCAGCAACCTTTGATTGGTGGAAATATTTTTGTCTTTGCTCATAATAGATTGAGTTTAATGTTTCTTGTAAGTTGGACCTGTTATTAGAAAGAGGCTCCAGTCTGCTAAGCAAAAGTCAGACTTAAATCAAGAACTAAGAATGGGCTTTGTTATAGCTCTTGCTGCCCAACGGCTTACCTTTGCTGGGAATCCCTCCTCCTGGGGCCCTGCACCACAACACACACCCGAAGGCGCTCTCGGGCGGGGACAGAGCTCCCTGAACCCAGACCTTTGTGTGTATGCTGTGCCCCAGGAGGGTGGGACAAGGGGGCAGGTGAGTGCCCAGGTTGGACTTGGCAGCCTGCGTGCCCTGCCACTAGCACTTCCCACTTGTTTAAGCTGTCTGTGAGCGGATTTTGCAGGCAGCGGCTTCCGGGAACGTGGGCGTTATTGTTTTTTAAGTAGAGTCCCTGCTTTTGGAGGGGGTGGGGGTGGGAGTGGGAGTGATTTAGTACAGCATGGAAGGATGTAGTGTGTATACAAGTGTGTGAAGTCTCACACAAACGCCTGCTTACGCAGGCTCCTGTGGGGAGCCGTGCATGGTCCTCCCTCGGTAGACAGCTGGGCCTTCTGAACATGGGCTTCCCCTCAGGCAAGTCTGTTTCCAGTGCGTTTGGGCTTCACCCTGACATTGCTTCTGCCTCAGGTACCATGGCCTGGCCCTCCCACATGTAATTCTGGGGAAACAGAAGATATTTCTTTTAAATCTCGTGCACTTAAAGTCCGGCCCTTCAGTGTAAAAAACACTTTGGAAGTACTAGGTACTCTACACCTGGTTCGGGTAGTTCAACCCTTTCGTAACCTATGGTCACTCCTTGCTAGAAGAATGGTGGAGTTAGTATTCGTCATAAAAATGCTTGACTCTCAGCAGTCCAATAATCTGTACCGGCGTCCCCCGCTGTGTGAAGGTAGAGCGTGGCTGTGAGACTGTTATAAACTGGCACAACCCAACACACAGAAATCTCGGTGACTGTATGTGGGAAACCTTTTGGTGCTTCCCTCTACCCAAAAGTGACCAGTGGATAACCAGTGAGATCGAGGACAGCACTAACTCATGCTCGTGGCTCAGGTGAAGGCACTGGCGGCTTGTTGCCAGCCGGCACGTGGAAGTGACTCCCGGGGATGGAACGGGCTGCGCCTCTTCCTCAACAGCTTGCTGCAAGCCACACCGAGAGCGCTCTGGCCTTTCTCCGTGGAGCGCTCGTGGGTTTCTTTGGGTTATCGAGCAGGTACGAACGGAGGTCTGTCGTAAAGCAAGAATGGCAAGGCGTGAACTCTGGAAAGTGGGGATGGGATTCCGGTGTGAATTTCATGACATCTGCCGTTAAATCAGTTTTTGTGCTTGTATTTTTACAAATAGAATTAGTGCAAAATGATTTTTCAGTAACTTGTTCTTGTCTTCCAGTGAGGATGAACTGGAAGAAACAAATGGAAATAACCCCATTGACATTGAGGTTGATCAAAACAAGGAAAGCAAAAAGGAGGTATTTTCTTCTGCATTGTTCAGATGATGACATTTTATTAGTAGTTCAATAAGTAAAGCATTCCTCTTCCTCAGTCTGATTCATGTCTCAGTCTGTCTGTATAGGCATTGTGGAATGACTTCATATTAACTTGGCTGTAGAGCCCTTGGTGGGGGGTGGGGGTACAGGTGGTTCCCTTACTATGGGTTGGCAGTGCAAGGTCACTCTGAGGGACCGCAGAAGACAGGCCTGGCATCAACTGCCCAAACCAGTCCTGGGAAACACTGTGCCGCAGAGTTCTACTCTGACACACAGTGGCTGGCCAGGAGTTGGAATCGACCTGACAGCAGCTGGATAAACTGCAGGACTTGCCGTGTTATTTTCAGGAGAGAGATGAGGCTTTTTACTCCCTGAAAGAGTGACTGTCCCAGAAACCCACGGGGACAGTTCTACCCTGTCCTGTATTGTAGGGTGGCTATGAGTCTGGATCAACTCAGTGGCAGCGAGTTTTTGAGACCACATTAATTTGCCACAAAGATACAGTAACAGAAGCCGTAAAGGACAATAGAGCGTGGCTGACAGGGAGTTACATACATTGCCTGGGAGGTGGCAGAGCTGCTACCACCAGCTCACTGGTTAGAAAGTGGTACTAGGGGGGACCCAGGCACCAGTGTCCCCATGAGAACTGACCTGGTTCCTCTCGGGGCCTGCTGGGCACTGCGCACTCTGGGTCCGGCATGAGTGTAGAGGCTGGTGGGTCCAGGCAGGCCTCCCAGTCCATGGACAACAGTGAAGGGCAGATGGAAGCCAGGACCATCCCCACACACGGGAAAGTTGTCTTCCCTCACATCAGGAAAATCTTCATGCCAAGGAGATTTTAAAAGCATGTTTATTATTTTTTGAGAATAGTAAAATACACAGCAAAACTTAGACCACATCAACCCTTCCTACGCATACCAAAAACCAAGCTCCCTGCCATCAATTTGACTCTCACTCATCATGACTCTAAAGGACTGGGCAGAACTGCCCCTGTGGCTTTCTGAAACTGTGAAACTCTCCGGAAGTAGAAAACCTCATCTTTCACCCTGGGAACAGCTGGTGCCTTCAAACTGCTGATTTGTGGTGAGCCCAGCACGTAACATCCTATGCCACCAGGGCTCCCTCTACACGCACTGTACATTCTGTGAGCTGTGCGCTTTCTCCCCCTCCTTTCCAAGTGGTCCCTCTCCCCTTAAGGGAAGCTCACTGCTGCCCCCTAAGGGTCCTGTCCAGTCTTTCAAGGTGTTTTCAAGGTTCAGTCCCACAGAGCTGTAATGTTTGCTTTCAGGAAGAAGGGATAATTTTGGTTTAGAATTTTAAAATTACCCTGAAGTTCATTTAGCTTCCATGGCTCCACAAAGTTGACGGGGGTGGGGGCGGTCTGTGAGAATTAGACATTCCATTCTCCGTATCCTTCTCCCACTTGATTAGGAGTCTTCTTTAGAATCTGGTCCGAATGTTCAGTCAGGGTAGCCAAACACTGACCAGCTCTTGTGCTGGTCCCATGTGAAGGAGGCAGGTATTCAGGGAGGATTGGCCTGACACGCCATCCTGTGGGGCTCAGGCTAGGTCGGTGTTTAAGCTCCGGTTCTAGGGGTGCATTGAGCCTTTCGTTTGTTTGTATAGATATTTTTCTGAAGATGGTCTGTAGTTTCAATAGAATTCTACAGGATTCTTAGTACTACAGAGTGAGAACAGCTGTTGTAGATCTAAAAAGAAGGGAAAATGGATCTAAACCTATTTAAAGTCTAAAATTATGTCAATAGTAATTTTATAGGCAAATTAGGAACAAGAAGAAAATAAAATTGTTATTACTCATAGCCATCAGGGTGACTTCCCACAGCTCCTTTGTAAACTGTATGTACTAGTGCACATAATTCTGATGCCCCCTCATGTCGTAAAATACTAAGTGGGATCTGAAGTCATATTTTGTAACTTTTAAGGACTTACTGTGTTGAATGGCTTTTTATATCAAATATAACTTTATACGTAGCTGCATGTGATTCCATCATACTGATCTAACTAATATAATGTAGTTGATTAATCCTGTGTGGACTTCTGTACCCCATAGCCCCCTTTGTGCTGTTATAAACAACACAAATATAATCCTATCACTAATTAGTGGCATACTTAGTTTTACCAATAGAATTCATTTTTGCAAGTTGACTAGTTGGATCCCAGTGTTGCATATTCATTTGAAAAGCTTTGAGCTTTTATTTTTAAATACAATACCGCCCCATCAGAGGCTGGTGACCTGTGCACAGCACACGTGACATTGGTTTGTGGTGGTGTGGTTGTTGGTTGCTTTCGAGTCAGCTCTGACCTGTGGCAACCTTAAGTACACCTAACAACAGAACTTTGTCCAGCCCTGTCCTCTTCATGATCCTGGGGGTGCTGTGATCAGTGCTCTGAGTCTCTTGTGGCTGTTGTGTCAGTCCCCCTCAGAATGATTTCCTGGTTTTTGCTGACCTCTACCAAACTTGATGACATTTTCTAGCCATCAGTCTTTCCCAATGACATGGCCACGGTCCACCATCCTTGTTTTTAAGGAGCATTCTGCTCGGTTTCTTCTGAAACGGTTGGGTTTACTCTTTAGGAAGCCATGGTCAGTACTCACTGCCTTCTCCTTTTTTCACTGTTTTGGCTTCCCATGCATGTGAAGAGATCAAAAAGACCATGGCTTGGTTCAGCTGTGCAGTAGTTATCAAAGTGACATCTTTATTTCCTAATGTAACACACCCTTTGGTTTCTTACAGCCCGCTTCCCCAGGGAGCAGGCTGTTGATTCACGTAGAGCGAGACTGTTGAAAGTCCACCCCTCCCCCTTTTACCATGATGTTGTATTTTGGTCCTATTTTGAGGAGTTTTGTTCACATTCACCAAAAGCGATAGTGCTTGACTTCGATCAGTAAGTGCTTCAGGTCCTTCTCAGCCAGCCAGACTGTTGCTTGCGTATCACAGGTTATTAACGCGTCATCCTCCAGTCCTTGTCCGGCTCTTGGGTGATTTGTACTGGTTGAATAATTAAGGTAAAAGGGTACAACCTTGGCAAACACCTTTTACAATTCTGAACCTCACAGTGCTTCCTTGATTATTAGAATTACTGCCTCTTGATCCAGGATCAGATTCTTCATGACTACAATAATTAAGTGCTTATAATATCTATAACTTGTAGTCCATACAATCAAATGCCTTTGTATAGTTCATCAAATACCAGGGGTGAGCATTAAAAAGTTTATAGGTGAGTGGAGTTAAAAGATAATGGACTTTCTGAAGTTCCTCATACAAGTGAACTTCTGGTAGTCTCTGCTTTGGGCCAAAATCCATCTCACATCCACATTGAAAAATGCCCCTCCTTCCATGTCCTCTGGATCTGGCTTGAGTTTTGACAGTTCCCTGTCAATGCAGGACGGCAACTCTCTTTGAATGACCTTCTGCAAAATTTTGCTTGTGTGTGATATTAATGATTTTGTTTGATCGTTTCCACATTCCGTTTGATCGTCTCTCTGGAACAGGAAGAGACATGCATCTCCTCCAGATGGCGGTCTTGGGAATGTACTGCCAGAGGTGGGTGAGCACCCCAGTGTGTGTCCGCTTGCTGGAACATCCCAGCTGCTCTTCCCTCTGTTCCCGAAGCCTGGATTTTTGCCAGTGCCTTCTGTGCAGCTCGACTTCTTCCTTCACTGCCAGGTCTGGATCATATGCCACTGCCTGAAATGGCCGAAAATGCTGAATGGGGACTGATTCCCTTCACGATTTTCTTTTTTTACCAATAGTATCCTTCATTAACACAAGCCAGAGGCTTGAATTTCTCTCTTCAGTTCTTTGAGCTTCAATCGCTTCTTCTCTCTTGGCCGTCTAACAACAAGTCTCATACATTTCTCATCATTTTTGGCCATGTCTTCTTGAGCCACTTTTACAGCAGTGGTTCTCAACCTGTGGGTCGTGACCCCGTTGGGGGTCGAACGACCCTTTCACAGCGGTCTTCCAAGTCAAAACAGTAGCAAAATTACAGTTATGAAATAGCAATGAAAATAATGTTTTGGTTGGAAGGGTCACCACAACATGAGGAACTGTATTAAAGAGTCGCAGCATTAGTAAGATTGAGAACCACTGTCCTACAGACATATCTCGGAGATCCTGCTGCAGGTTCGGTTCTAGATCACTGAACTAAAGCGAGACTTGCAGATTTTTTTGTTTCCCAGTGCATTTAAAGGTTAGGCTTGCCCTGGGCTGTCCTGTTGAAGTGTACAGTAGCACTGTGGAAGCGTCTGCAGTATCAGGAGAGGGATGGAAACGTGACGCAACTCTGAACTGAGCACCTGCTGTGGGAAGGGGGCGCCCACAGGCCTGCCCCAGGCCTTCAGATGGTAAAGCCTGCCAGACCCGTGGCTGGCACTCCATCAAGCGAAGCATGCTGAAGTGAGGTCTGTCTATGTTCAGCTTGCTTACTCACCATCGCTTCTGGAGAGCACGTTTCAAAGTCTCTTTTAACACCCATTGTAGTCCTGTCCGTTTTCTTGTCTTTTTAATGACCTTTCACTTGGTTCAAGTCTAGTGCCCTTGTTGCCTCCCCACAACTTTGCTGGTCACTAGTGTTTGCTGTGTCAAATCAATTCCTGAAATGTCTCTGGGCTCAAGTTGGTTCCAACTCAGAGACCTGTGTGCTGAAGAACAGAGCCCGGCCAGTCCTGCCTGCAGCCCCCACAGCGCTGCTGTGCTTGAACCCACAGCTGCAGCCCCCTGCCCATCCATCGCATCAGCGTCTTTGCCTGTTTTGACGAGCACCCCACTCTTTTAAACTTAGGAAAGATGTTTTCAAGGTCATACTTTGGCTCTTTTGGACTAGCTTTGATTTTCTTCAGCTTCAACTTGAACTTGCACATGAGCAATTGAAGATGTCTTCCTCAGTCTCAGTCAGTCCCTGGCTGTGTGCGACTCGGCTGATGATACCGAGCTGCTCCAGTCTCTTTCCACAGGTGTAGTTGAGTTGATTCCCGTGTAATCCATCTGGTGAGGTCACATGCTGAGTTTTTGATTGTATTGTTGGTGAAGTATTTCCACTGATTAAGTTGTTGGTCTTAACAGCTCTGTCATGCCGTCTTTGACATCATTTCTGTTACCAGACAGTACTTTGCAACTACCAAACCCTCTGTGTTTTCAGTCACTGGTAGCTAACAGTGCATTTTGAGTGCACTCAGAGTTTAACATAAGTAGATTTTAGTGCATTTTGTTTTGATGCATTGTTACTTATTAAGTTACCTTCAATATTACACTTAGATTTAAATATTACACTTAGATTTAAATATTACACTTAATTTCAAATATTACACTTGACTTTATACCAATTTCTTCAATGATTTTATATATATGAATTTCTAATTTAAAAATAAAAATTGTTAACTTAGTTTAACTAGTAGTATATTTATTAAAGAAATATGGTTGACAGGTGATCTGTGTTAAACAATGTAGTGCTATATAGAACCTAATTTATTGCTTACTAATTTATTGTATTTTGTTCATTGCCCCTTGTTCAGGAAATTTGTCACTATAATCCTGGATTGTATTGTATTTTTATCTCTCTTTTTTTTTAATTTGAAACCGAAAAACAACCTATTTTCAATTGTATCAGCAAGTGTTGGTGCACGATGAGATTGTGAACAAAACAAAAGCTTCTTGTTCTTAAAATGGCTATCATTAACACTTAATTCTTTGCTTGCCAAGAATTTTACTGCATTTTATTTCAAAGTTTTGTTTTTGGAGAAAACATTACTCCAAAAAAGTGAATAGCAATTATCTATTTAAAATGAAGTGCAAGTACGTATCTTTTGAAACAAGTGGTACATGTTGCTCTAGAAGTTAAGCATGACCCAGAAAGAAAGGGCATGTGAAAAATCATAATTTCACATCAGAGTTTATGTTTCTTACAAGCCATTTCTAAATCTATTACTGTGGAACTTTCTACATATGCAGAAACATAGGTTTCCATTATTGACACTGTGTCCGTCTGTGTTTCCAGGGACTGTTAGGAAAAAACAGTTCCCTGTTCTTACAAACGGTGAAATCCGTGCAGCACCATAGACCTACAAGTAGGGGCGGGTCCCCACGCATCCCCCTCCTCTCCCCGCATTTCTGCAGAAAGCCAAGAACGCTTATAACTGTGCTTGAGAGTGTCCTTACTGTAAGAGGCTTACAGCGGGAGAGTAAGCATGTGGTTTGAGAAGGCTGTGGAGGCCACTTTGAAATGGTTGGTCCCAGTGCAGCAGCCAGCTTTGTTTGTTGGTGATCAGAATGGTGTGGTCTTTGTCTGCCATCGCTAGTGTCTCATCAGTGAACTGTGTGTGTGTCATGCAGGTGCCCCCAACTGAGACAGTTCCTCAGGTCAAAAAAGAAAAACATAGCACACAAGCTAAAAACCGAGCGAAAAGGAAACCTCCCAAAGGAATGTTCCTCTCTCAGGAAGATGTGGAGGCTGTTTCCGCTAATGCCACAGCTGCAACCACGGTGCTGAGACAGCTTGACATGGAATTGGTCTCCATCAAGCGGCAGGTAGGCTGTGGTCAGCCCCACCTTGGCTACAGTTGTCTTCTGGGCCGTGGAGGGGTTTTTATTTACGTAACAGGTGGGGCGGGGGGATGGTTCTTGTGTTCCACAGTACCCCACTCTGTTTCTGAGGAAGCCACTGTGAGACTGGGGACAGGCCCTGGGTTTTGTTTCTAAATGAACCTTTAAGTGGAAGTATTTTATATACACAATGGGACTCCAAAAAGCTCATGGGAAAATTCCCTTCATTCCATCTTCTCTCAAACTTTTTAAAGCCCCCTCATAGGATTCAAGACAGTTTGACAGAGTGGATATATCCCAGTAACACTGCAAATCCAGAAATGGGCCATTGGGCCCTGCCAATCTCTGCTCTCCTCCAGAAATGCAGCACTGCACCAGAGGCTGCTCCTGCCCCTCCCTCACACCCTTCCTCTACTCTTCATGACAAAAGCCAAGCCACTTGCCTCTGAGTCCCTTCCAATGAATAGGGAGCCTCTGTAGAAAGGGCCCATTGCCTTTACCCAATTGTATAACTATACACTGCTGCTGAAGATTCCAGCCGGGGCCTGGGACTGTCCCCTCACTCGTGTTCTCTCCATCCTCCTCCATGAAATTCAAAGCACATTGTGGGCTGGTGGTTCATTGTTGGGTTTTGCCACTTTTTACTTTCTGGCTGGTCTGCTGGTTCCCTGGGCAGCTAGCTGCCTTTACTGGGGCCTGTGTCTTCGCCTCCCCTCAGGCTTCAGGAAGTACGGAATTTAGTAACCTTCTTTCTCATCTGGGCTGCTGGCCCAGCTGCAGTCTAATCCGCAGAAGCACGCTTAAGCTTTCTGGGCCTCTGTTAAAAGGCCTGCCAATCTCTCAGGACAGGCGGGCCCAGTTTCCTCGCCATCCCCGTGGGAAGAGCTTGGTGGGGATGTGCACTCTGGCTCACTGGCCACCTGCCTCATTCCCTCCCCTCTGCTGAGTGAGCTCCTGAGGCTTGTTGGGAGGTACTGACACATTGAGGTCAACCCCTTCATCATGACGCTGCAACATGGACCGTAAGAGCCTTGGTTTCTCTGAGCAGGGCCAAGTGCAGACGTTTTCTATTTGAGACTAGCTCTATTCAGGTTTTACAGGAATGAAGCAGGGTGTGGGGCTTGCTGATGAAGAGATGAGAGAATTTTGTACAGCCTCGGGGCTATGGGAGAAGAATCTGCTCCCTGCCAGGTATACTTCTAGACTCAAAATGACCACTGCTTGCACCAGGGCCATTTTAATCTGGACGCCCCCAGTGTGGGGAGTGTTAGAAGCTGTGGCCTGAAGCTACCATAGCAACAAGCACCTCAACAGTTAGGTTGGCTCTTCTCAGCTAAGACGGAGTGCACTCAGCAGTCATGCCAGCCTTAGTCTTTGTGCCCAGCTCCCATTTTTCTACTGCCGCCTCTTTTAAGCTGCGGAAGCCCATTCACACCTGCATCGGGCCAGTTTGAAGGGGTGGTGGAGCAGGAAAAGCAGCCGCCGTACCCAAACCTCCCATCTCTAGAGGAGGCATTGAGGAACGTTGGCTGCATCAGCCAGGGCCTACTGCACTGGGTCAGAGTGTCGAGCACAAGGCCTGCACATAGGAAAGGGGATAAAGAAGCGTGTCAGTTCGGGCAGCCTGCACCTGGGACGGCAGCAAGCAGGCAGTCTCCTGGCTAAATGCCACTCGGTCTTCCTTTTGAGTTGGCCTGATGTTGGCCCCTGGGCCCTTCTGCACTCTCAGAGTAATACTGTATCTTTCTGATGTGGAAAGTACAACAGGAAGAGAGGTGCAGTGCAGGCTGATGAGAACAGCTAGTGTTTGGTTCAAAATCAGTAGATGCTTGGCCTTGTGGCCATTCCTTAATCTCTGAGCTGCTTGATTGCTTTGAAGCAGAAATTGCATGTGTGCTCAGTGCTTGGTGACCTGCTTAGAGAGTGTGCGATAGGGTGTCATTCACCTGCGGGGGAAATCCTTGCCCAGTGCCTTCTTGCCCGGGCCTACCTGCCTACGATGCACCTGACATCTGAGCACTGGCTCATTCCCTGCCGGGTGCTGCTGAGGTGAGCTTTTGGCCCTCAGGGCATTCAGTGATCGTAATTTGAGCATTTTGCAAAATCTTGTGAGCTGTTGGTAACCGAAAGAGCACTCAACGATAATCCTCCAGATGTGCCGGCCAGGCCCCAGGCTGCATAATGACTGTTCAGACGTCAGTGGAGGTGAGTGAAATCTTAAAAAATGAGTTTCTCTGCCACACTTCTCAGGTGCTCAGTAGCAACACGTGGCTTCTGCTCTGAGGAGACGTAGAGTTTGTTCTGAGTTACAGGGACCCCATGCATAACAGAGCAAAGCATCACCCAGGCTCCACCATCTGCCGAATGGTTATGTTTGAGCCATCCTTGCAGCCACCGTGTCGGTCCATCTCATTGAGGGGCTTCCTCTTTTCCACTGACCAAGCAAGATGTCCTTTTCCAGGGACTGTTCTCTCTTGATGGTATGTCCAAAATACGAAAGATGACATCCCGCCACCCTGCCTCCAAGAAGCATTCTGACTGTCCTTCTTTCAAGACATTAGATTTGTTTGTTCTTCTGGCAGCCCATGGGCCTTTGAATATTCGTGGCCAACACCATAATTCCGATACATCTGTTTATCGGTCCTCCTTATCCTTTGTCCAGCTTTCATGTGCATATGAGACCATTGAAACACCAGGGCTCCTGTCAGGCCCACCTTCGTCTTTAATGGGACATCCTTGCTCTTCGACACGTTATCGAGGTCTCAGGCAGCTGTTATGCATGGGGTCCCTGTAACTCAGAACAAACTCTACGTCCCCTCAGAGCAGAAGCCACGTGTTGCTACTGAGCACTTGAGAAGTGTGGCAGAGAAACTCGTTTTTTAAGATTTCACTCACCTCCACTGACGTCTGAAAGTCATCATGCGGCCCGGGGCCTGGTGCAACACGTCATTGGATTTATGGCTGCTGCGTCTATGAGAATTGATTCTGGATTCAATCTTTTCTCTGTTGATCGTGATGTTACCGGTGGGTCCAGTTGTGAGGATGCGGTTGTCTTTCCATTGAGCTGTCATCCAACTGAAGGCATGTCTTTAGTCTTCTTCAGCAGGTGCTTCGAGTCCTCAGTTTGAGCAGGCAAGGTTGTGCCACCTACCATCGCGGGTGGTTACTCAGCCCCCTGCAGCCCTCCTGCTTCCTTTTTCTTCATAGAGGCCACTTTCTTGGATTATGTGCTGAGCACCAGGTTGAGTAGTTTACTAGTACGGGAAGGAGATTGCCCTGGCACACACCTTTCCTGATTCCAACCTTGCTCGGTTGGAAGGACTGCCTCTTGTCTCATGTACCTTTCTGACAGCTCCCTGATGGTGTGCCGCTGTGAGCATATTTGAATTATCTTCAGCAAAATTTCACTTGAAATTGATAGTAGTGATACTGTTTGATAATTTTTGCCGTTTGCTGGGTCACTTCCTATGGAATGGGCGTAAATAGAGGATCTCTTTCCAGTTGGTTGGCTGGGTACTTCTCTTTGAAATTTCTTGGCATAAACAGGTGTGTGCTCTCAGGGATTCATTAGCTTGTTGAAATATACCATTTGGTATTCTGTTAATTACTGGGTAGGAAAGCAGTTGCTTTTTCACTAATGCCTTCAGTGCAGCTTAGAATTCTTCCTTCAGTACCATTGGTTCTTGATCATATGCTACCTCTTGAAATGGTTAAATGTCAGCCCTTCTTTGGGTAGAGTGATTCTCTGCATCTCATCTTTTTTTTCCCCCCTTGAGAAATTCTGAGTTTATTCCTGCAAGCACTCGCAGAAGGAAAACAGCCAGGTTTCTCTGAGTTCAAGCTTGACCCTGCAAGTTAATGTACAAGAGACAGTTTGTTACCATGGGTGTAGGAGGGGATTCGAGGGTTTACAATGTCACAAGATGCAACCGATATGATAAAAAGGCAGGTTCTACAGTAATCATTACTAAATTACCTATACTTACACTTCTCCAGGGACCATTAGATCACCATCCCCCGAAGCGTCATGCATCCCTGTTTATCCAAATTGGAGTGCACCGAATCCCATCCTCTTTTGACACTTCCTGCCTCGTTCACTGTTTTGCCCGAACAGTTTCTGCCCCTGTTCCCATGTGACATGTGCGGAGGGGCCTCTTTCTCCCTTTTGAGCGCTTCCATGTTTCACTCGGTAGAGACCACTGATTCTCCCCTTCTTTCTATTTGCTCGCAAGTTATTCAAAGGGGACCAGTGGTGAGGGTCACTTGGAAAGGCCCCTCTGCTTGGAGCAGAAAGGAAAGGGCAAGGTGTGTGGCCACGTGGTGCTGAAGCCCCCAGTGGGAGCTAGGTGGGAGGGAGGCTCAGTCGAGGGTGGGTAGGCACTTGATGAGGCTGGGGCAGGGCGAGAGCCATCAAGTCTCCCAAGTGATGTGAAACAGTGAGGTGTGAAAGGAGGAGAGCAGGTGCAGTTGACCCAGAGCGGGATCAGGGCAAAGCCACTGGCATGCCGCTCTCCTTTCTTTCCCACTTATGAGGGAGCCTGCCCCTCGGCCTTTCTGCCGTGGGTAGAGCCAGTACCACCCAGGCCTGAGTCTGGACCTGTGTCACGCCAGTGATGGCCCAGCAGCGCCCCCCTGTGGTTCTGCCACCGGCACTCTCTTCCTGGACCCTAGTGCCTCCTCTACCTCCTGGACTGTGAGATCGGGAGCCCAGACCCTCCACGTGCCACAGGTTAGGCTTTGGGCCCGAGGCTGCTCTGCTCAGGTGATTACTTCACACCGTGGCCTGGACAGTGTGCCGAGGAGCTTCCCCCACCCATCTCACTGCCACCTTCCAGCAAGGGCCCCTCCAGCCACGGCTGCCCCTCATCAGGGGCTCCAAGGAAGCCAATTTTTGAGTTGGGGAGTCCTCTCAGAGATAGCGGAGAGGTCTTCAATTTTGAACTGTCCTGCCCTGCGTTTTGTTTGCTTTAGTTTGTTTTTTTAATTGATACTCTTGTTTCCCCCCCTGCCTTTATAGAAGTGGTTCATTCATAAAATAGAATATTTTCTCCTTAACAGATTCAGAATATTAAACAGACAAATAGTGCTCTGAAAGAGAAACTTGATGGTGGAATAGAACCATACCGGCTTCCAGAGGTAGGTTATGTTGGCATCACCTCCGAGGTCCTATCCCATTTGTACGAGTGTCATTAATATCCTGGTAAGGACCTGAAGCCCCTGGAAACTCCATGCGTTAATGCAAGTTATCTGCGTGTCTAGGTCATTCAGAAATTTAACGCCCGCTGGACCACAGAAGAGCAGCTCCTCGCCGTACAAGGTATGGACCCATCTCTCTCGAGCGGGTTAGCAGCTGTGGCCCCTGCCCTGCTTTCAGCACACTGATGGCGGAAGCAGATTCTTAGAGGGGTGTCCCCTCTTTTGCACGATCTTGCCTGATGACTGCATTCCCACTAGGCTGGCCTTTTGCTTTCTCATGCGTGGCTCACAAGTGTGTAAAACCTTACTTGGGAGCCTCAGCCCAGAGCTGATTCTGATTCATAGTGACCCTGGAAGACAGAGGGTGCCCTGCTCCCTAGGGTACCCAGGGCTGGTGCTTCTCTACAGAGGCAACCCACACACCAGCCTTCGATGAGTTTGTGTGACCAGCCTCTTGTCCATTATAAGCACTTCAAGCCAGGGTCCTCTTCAGTGTAGCACAGGCCTGTTCAGCTCTGAATATTGAGTGCGAACAAAACCCTGGCAGAAGTCGAGCTGTGCCAGGATCACCAGGTTGGACTGTCGGAGCCTGGCACGGAGGGGCTGGTTGTGGGTGACTTCCACTGCCCTGGCCCCCACCCCACCCGGCTCTCACACTAAGACAGCTGCTGCTCAAAGCCAGCCACTGCCCTTTTGCCTGTTTGCCCCTTTGGTCTCGAATTCTGTTTTTCTCCCGTGTCGGGGACCAACAGTGCTGTCTCTCCTCTTTAGCCATCAGGAAGTATGGCCGTGACTTCCAGGCCATCTCGGACGTGATTGGGAACAAATCAGTGGTGCAAGTGAAAAACTTTTTTGTCAACTACCGACGCCGTTTCAACATCGATGAAGTTTTACAGGAGTGGGAGGCTGAGCATGGCAGAGATGAGACCAACGGGCCCAGCGACCCGAAACCCGTCAGGTCCCCAGACAGTGCTGTCAAGGTGCCTGCGGAGGAGGACGAGGTAAGTCAGCAGCGCCACACTCTCATCTCTGCCAGCTCCTCCCCAGAAGGACCACCTCTCCTCTGGGAAGTCATCTTAGCAGTTAGCCTGGCTTTGACCTGGAGACACTTATGGGTGAAGGTGTCTCATAACCTATGGATAAATTCCTAATTCCAATCAGGCCTTTTGTAGCCACGTAGGAGGGTGTGGGGGGTGTGGTGGTGGTGGTGGTGGTGGTGGTGTGTGTGTGTGTGTGTGTGTGTGTGTGTGTGTGTGTGTTGGGTGAAGGTGTCTGATAACCTATGGGTAAATTCCTAATTCCAATCAGGCCTTTTGTAGCCACGCAGGCGGGGAGGGGTGTTGTGCGCCCCCCACAACTACAGTAAAAACTGCATGGAACAACAGGCTGGGTAGGACATGTCCACAAAGCTCCATCAGGTTAACTCTAAGTTTACCTGGGAGTCTGCCAGCGAGCCCACCAGTCCTCCAGGCCCATCTGCCCCCTGGCTCTCCCGGTCCTTGATGCTGCATGGGGCTAGCTGATCTCTGTGGATGGGCAGGTGTGAGTCCAAGGGCTGACTGCCAATCCAGAGCCAAGGCCGATGTTCTTGCCACCTCGGGACGGGACACTGGCTGCAGTGTCAACAGCAGAGATTAGGCAGGAAGATTCCTGAGGCTTCAGACCCTCACCTGCTTCCTGTCACAGGCTTGCCTGCCGTTTTCTCATCTAGCTGGGCCACCCCCACTTCCCACAGAGCCCAAGAGTGAGCCTGGGCACAGGCAAGACCCGACCTCTGAGGCCTGCCCGGCTCAGTTTGCTCAGCAGCACCGTTCTGTGGGCTGGATGGGGAAGCGCTTTCTCATCAAAGATCCCACACCATGCGGGGGCGTTGAAGTGGTTTATTGGGATGTCTGTGCCTCTCCTTTGCTTTCAGAGCCCCTTTGACTCCACCTTGGGACACTGAACCCACCGGGGTCTCTGTGGTTAGGAGAGGAGGACCTCCAGGGACCCACTTCTGTCAGGAAAATACTGGGTCCGCTACCTGTGTTAGATTAGATTCCAGAGCCGTTTCCAGCACTGCTATGGGGATAGTAGGCAGGGTTTCTACTATTGACACTGAGTGGTCCCCCACCCTCCGCCATACTGCCCCAAGTCACCGAGCCTAAGGCCCTGGAATAGAAGATCAAAATGCACTGTGTCCACTGGGTAGCAGTGTCTGCCCTGGTGCTGACTGCTCCTTTAGCACCAAATGAACTTCTCAAGAGTCCTGGGCTTACTGTTGGAAGCACTGCAGAGGTGGGCCTTCCTGGAGAGCTGGTCAGCCCTGCATGTTTCCACACTGGGTCCCAAGTTCCCTGGCAGCATAAATGGAAGGCACAGCCATGTGGGCTGGTGTGAAAAGTTGGAGGGACATCTAGAACTAGCATCCTCTCCTGTCTTCTGACTGGCTGACAGTCAGCCCTGGGGCATCCTGGCCCGTTCTGCTCCCTGATGACTTGTTTGGGAGGCTCGCCTTCTCGGAGGGCCCCCTGGCCCCCCGCTGACTGCACAGTAAAATAGCCCCGGGGGGGTGGGGGGGGGCTGTCATTCATCACTAGGCACTCCCTGTCCCAGCTGTCTCCGCAGAAATAGCAGGGGCTGTGTTGGCTCACCCATCGTCTAGATGTGCCCTTTACCACCCCTTAAAATTGCCCCAGCTTCTCAGTCATTTAAACACACACACGCACACTAGTCTGTGGTGCACACTCTCCCACCTCCCCTCTTCTTTAACTCTCTTCTTTCCATGCTTCCCACAGCAGGTGCCTTTGCTCTGAGAAGGAGCCCACTCTGTAATCCACGGCCCAAGGGGGCCGATTTGGAACTATTGTAGTACTGGCTGGTTGTCTTCCTGGGCCGAGCTCAGATCTTGGAGCCCTTGTAACTTCCCAATTGTGTGTATCCCATGTGCCCTGCAGCTAGGAGAGAGAGGCCTTGGCAGGGCCAGTGCCAAGGGGCAGGTGCATCCAAGCGGCCATGCATCTGTATAACATCAGCTACATCCCTGCTGGGATAAACCTGGTTTTCTTTAGGACCAAGAAGGGAAGTGGTCCAGGGCTTACTCAGTTGGAGACCCTCATGGCAGGGCCTCCCTAGCCTCACAGCGAAGGCGGGGACAGGTGTGGAGGGGGAGGAGAAGAGGAAGCCGGACTTCCCGTGGCCTCTCCCAAGTGCGTCCCTGCAAAGGCTGGGGCAGTGGCAGTGGCAGCAGTTTTCTGACCTCGGGTCCATTGGCTGGTCCAGAGTGTGCCCAACAGTTGGACATGGCGGTGCCCCAAGAAGGTGTGCACTCCTACCCTCACCGGCTTGCCTCTCTGAGGTGCTCCTGGTGGCCAAACCCAGACCTAGCGTGCTGCCTACTGGGCTTCCCTCCTGTCCTCACTGTGCCTGTGCTACACGTGGCACCCCTGCGGCCGAGGAAGAAAGCCAGCAGGTCCTTAGCTTACACAGCCAGGGACATGGGCTGAGGTGTGAGCCTAGACTGAGGCCTTGTCCCCTCCCCAGCCTGGTCACCACCCCAGACCCTGACCTTAGGAACGAGTCGGGTGCTTTGGGGCCCTGTGGCCATGCACACTGTTGCCCTGCCCTCTGACTCTCTGTTTTTCCCTCCTTAGGCTGCTTCCGTTCTCGACGTCAGATGTGCATCTGCCTCATGAGTCCCTCTGGCCCTTCAGACACTGGGTGTGACTACTGCATCGTCAGGACATCAGGTATTACCGGACATCCCTAGCCGTCTGCATCACATCTCTCTGGACAAGCAGCTACTACCAAAAAGGCGTCTGATTCAGTCCTGGGCTACACCTGCCTTAATATCTCGCTCGTTCCTCCACACCGGAGCGCGCCGCACCGCCCGCGCTCTTGGCCTCTTGGGGCTCCCTGGTGCCCCATCCTGGCCCCCATGGCAGCTCCTTCCTGGCAACAGCTTTGGAACAGGTCCACCTACTGCCTAGAGACCCGCTCTGTTCCTGCATGGCCTGCAATTTCTACTTTGAGCATAATGTCGTCTTCAGAGCAAACTGACCCCCAGGTGGCCTTCTGGAAAGTTTGCCGTGCTCTTTCTTAAACTTCCCACCTAAGTGAGATCACGTGGCTTTGGAGCGCACGATGCCCTGGCCGGCTGCACCGTGACCTTGACCGTGGCCATACCAAGCAACCCAACAAGACACACGCTGCCCTAACCTCAGACACAATTATGGCTTATTGGTTTCATTGGCGTACATCTCTCCCTTCTCCTGCCCCAGTAGAAAGCTTAGTCAGGGCAGCTGTCTTGGGACACAGAGCCTCAGCTTTCTGCCTTCCCGTGTCACATTGTTACCCCAGTTGGGCACCCCCACCCCTTCCAGACCCCACCCAACCCCCACCTCCAGGAGCTTTGGTCCCAACTGCCGTACTGGTGCTTGTTCACCTGGAATTGGTGCCTTCTCCTTTGGCAGCCAGACTTCCAGCCTTCCTCCTGTGGTAGTGTCTTATCTCTCCTCTAAAGCTTATCCTTGCCAAAGATGACGTCACTGGGACTGGGACCGGGACCCAGGAGAGCTTGCTGCAGACACGGCAAGCAGGTGGAAGCGGCAGCTCAGCTCAGTGGGTGGGGGTGGGGGGGTTGCGGCAAGGGCCCATGGGTGTGGCTCCCAAGAAGCTACACACTGTTGAGGTTCTTGGAAGCCTGGCCTTTGGCACACTGCGTCGTGTAGCCTTCTGTGCCCTCCACACACTGACATTACAATCACACACACACACCATTCCCTCCTTTTCCAAGTTGTAGCCGTTTGTCTGCTAAGTAGGATGTGATGTCTTTGGTTGGACAAGAAATGTTTCTAGTAACCATCGGGAAGTTTCAAGACTTGTTTGGGTGTCTGCCAGCTTGTGGCCTAGTGAGGGCTGAGTGAGGAGCCAGGCAGGCAGCCCTCCTTGTGTGTTGCAGGAGGAGGGGCCTTTTCCCTTGCTTTTTCTGTTACATCATTTAGCTCAAAATCGTTTCTGCTTTTAATACCAAAAAGAGAAAATGCAGATGCTTTAAGGCATAAACCGAATTCTGAGGAATTTAAAAATATGCAATTAAAATTTGATGTGTTTTGAGTTCCAAGCACCTTGCTTTTGTTTTTTTAAATAAGTCAGCTGATAAGTCTCTTTAGAAAGAGAGCCGGCTAGAAACCTAGGTGGTTTGGAGTTGTACACCCCACCCCCCACCCCCTTAAAAAATAAAGCTGGAGAAAGGTCTCGCAGCCTCGGGATCAGGACAGCCCCAGCCTGCCCTCCACCCCCCAGGCCCGGCACAGAGTAACACTAGCAGTGAGGCGGCCGCCCAGTTCCCCTCACTCACTACAGCACCACGGCGTCCTGCTGCTGCTGGTGCATTAGGACCAATGCAGCCAGTGGTGGCTTTCTCTGCCAGGGGAACGAGGAGTCCCCTGATCAGTTGGCAGCCTGAGAGAGAGCATGGTGATCCGGGCCTGTTGCCTTTGTTGTGGTTTCTGGCGTGAGATAGATAGCACTGTGTGTTCCCGGCCCTGTCTCTGCTATGATGTTGTCTGTGTGAGAAACCGCCTCGCTTTCAAAGTGAAGTGGTTTGGTCTTCATTCTGTGAAGACCCTTTTCCACATATCAAGACTGAGGGGCGTCAGCAGGTGGCGCTGGGCAAGTGTGAGGGTCCCTGGTGATAACTAAGTAGCGTGGAAAGCTCGCTTACACTTTTTGTCTTCTTAAAAATTTATCAATGTGAATGTCATAGTTATATATATTTTTGTGGGAAATTTCTCCGAAGTATAAGTTATTGTGCAAAATAGAGTATCCTTGACACAAATGATAGTTTAATTTTTAGTTTAGAGAACCTAAAAGAGAGAAATTGTATGGCATATGCATTAAAAGTTTGTTTTATTTAATTTTATGTAGATGTGTAAAAGTTGTTAGGTAAACCTTTTTTTTTTTCCTTTTTCCCCTCCACTTACCATTTAAAACACCTTGTTACTTGAATATTGTGTTAACTGGTCTGAAGCAGTGATCAATTTTTGTCCTGTAGCTCTTGGGCTGCAGGGGGCAGCCCACACTGGCAGCCAAGAGGTGGGCAGGGGCTGGGCATGTACCCGCTGCCCAGCACGGCCTGGTGGTCCTGCCAAGGCTCCCGCTCCTCCAAGTGGGTTTGCTGAATTCTTTCCACCTGTTGGGTCTCTGGCTGGCCACACAGCTCTCATCAGAAGCGAAACAGCAGGGAGTGGGAAGAGCTGCCCAGGGTGGCTGAGTGATGCAGACATTTTCTGTGTGCATACAGTTTCCTCAGATACTTCACCCCACTCTGAGTGTGCTCACTGTCACTTTAAATTGCAACTGCGCCCTATTTTTGTCTTTCTAAAGATCAGATGTACTGTTGGTATAACCGAGTACCAAAAATAAAGCCAAACAGTGCATTACACTAACTGGAGCCCTGCCTCTCTGAGCACGGGAAAGGAAGGCAGGGCCGCGTCCGGGGAGCCCTGGTGCGCCTCCTGCCCTGTCCAGCCTGCCCCAGAATAACTTGTGACCCAGGACTCGAGGGGGCTCAGGGCAAGGAGCTCATCGGATATGGTGGCCTCAGGCAGGCGGTGCAAGGAAACAAGCCCCAGGTGCCCCTCCCCGGGCCTCTGCGGTGTGAAGCACAAGGGCAGCAAGGTCCTGGCTCCGAAGACGGTCAGCACAGTCTATGCATGTCGCGCCCTGCGCCTGTGTGCAGCTCCCACCTCCCACCGGACCTGGGCCGAGCTGGCCGCCCTCACCCACGCTGCAGACGTCGCACCTTGGCCAAGTGCTTTGTAGATTGCTTAACCTCCCCCACCCCACCCCCCAAGACTTTGAAAGCTGTCTAAGGTGAAGTTTGCAGATGGGATGGAAGTGCTGTCTTACCTTTGAAGTTAAGACACTCCCTGTTGGAAACGTTGAAGACTTGACCTTGTACTAATGCTGTTGGCGGGACTGTTTGAATGTCTCTCTGCCTGTCCTGTCTCAGCACAGTCTTTGTGGGGAAATGTTGATAGCATTATAACTGCTTAGCCACTGATGAGAAACCTTGGTTAGTGGAAACGGGAAAATTTATTTGTGAAACTCTGCAGAATTCATTTTTCTATTTCCAATCTTTGCTGAAGTTCAATAAAACTTTTCAAGCCATTGATGTAATAAAATCTGAAACAAAGCTGTTTTCTGCATCAAAGCAGTATCCATTGGGCTGCAGGGCCCCTGCTTCCCCTCGGGGCCACTGGGCCCTGGGACGTTCTTAGCCTCCTCTGCCTCTGCAGATGCACCCCATGGGCACACGGCCAGAGGCCCAGGGTCTGGCCATGTTGCTCTGTGGGCAGCTGCACACGATGACGCGTGTGAGAAGCTGGGGGGCTAGCGGGAAAAGGGGCAGTAGAATTTTTTCTTCCCCCTTGTGACAGGCCTTAACTTTTTTTTAAAATCATTTTATTGGGGGCTCATAGTGCTCTTATCACAATACATAGACACATATATCCATTGTTTCAAACACATTTATATATTTGTATTCATCATCATTGTCAAAAGGGGCCTTAACTCCCGATGCTACAGCTCCACCATCTGGGACTGGGAAGCAGCGGGAGCCCCACCACTGGCTTTGGCACCTCTGTGACTGTTGGGGGGCAGGCATCCGTGGGGCTCCCAGCCTCTGGTCTTGCCTCTCAGCTGGATTTAGATGGCTGGGAAAGCAGGGCTTCCACACCCAGTGTTGCCTCAGATGTTTACTCCCCTGGAAGTAGCCTGAGGGGGTCAGGGTGAGGGCTGTTTATCTATCATAGGGTCTGCCTTCTAGGGCACTGAGCCTGCCCCCTGGGCTGGGTGGCAACGGAGAAGGAGCATGAAGGCTGAGGCCTGGGATGGAGGTGGGAGGCCAGCTTCCTCTGTGAGAAGAGGGGCCAAGCCTTGGTGGCTTCCTTGCCAGGAGGTGGGGGCAATGGGGGCCATGGAGGGGGAGGGGCGCCAGACTGGGGAGGTGGCCCATTGTCAAATACCATAGACTGGCTGCTTGGGCGGGTCCTTTGGCAGGCAAGGAAGGAGAAGCTGGGTGGATCAGACGGGTTGGAGGACAGGGAGTGGGGTCATAGCCCAGGGTGTTCCATGAGCCAGTGCAGGCTGCCTTCCCCAAGCCAGGCAGGAGGAGCACCTCTGAGCTCACCTCATACCCTGCCTTCTGTGGTCATTGCAGCCTGGGAGGAGAAGGGGGGTCCTCTACTGGTGGGGTGAGGGGTAGGGACAGCCTTTGGGTAAGGGACTCAGGATGCCCCTCTGCTGTCCCTCAGGCAGTGGTTCCAGACATTTCTACCAAGCTGCTTCCGCCTCCTCCACTCTCCTCAGATCACAGGTACCCCTCCAAGACTCTTGCTTTGGTGGGACCTGGGCTAAGAACACGCCCTAGAGAAGAGTTTCTGTAGCTCAGCAGGGCTGGGGGACTTCTGGGGAGGGGAGACATCTTGGCTGGTTCTATCTTTCTTAAAGCAGGGGTGTTATGTTTAGTTTTTAAAATCATTTTATTAGGGGCTCATACAACACTTATCACAATCCATACACACATCAGTCGTGTAAAGCACATTTGTACATTCATTGCCCTCACCATTCTCAAAGCATTTGCTTTTCATTTAAGCCCCTGGCATCAGGTCCTCATTTTCCCCCCTCCCTCCCCGCTCCCCTCTCCCTCATGAACCCTTGATTATTTATCATTTATTATTTTGTCATATCTTTCTCTGACGTCTCCCTTCACACATTTTTCTATTGTTCGTCCCCCAGGGAGGAGGTCACCTGTAGATCCTTGTAATCGGTTCCCCCTTTCCAACCCACGCTCCCGCTATCACCACTCACACCACTGGCCCTGAAGGGATCATCCACCCTGGATTCCCTGTGTTTCTGGTTCCTATCTGTACCAGTGTACATCCTCTGGTCTAGCCAGACTTGCAAGGTAGAATTGGGATCATGATAGTGGGGGAGGAGGAAGCATTTAGGAAC